TTCCTCTCCCTGCTCCCCACAACTGCTTCCCCCTCCGTTCCTGCCACGCCGGATTCGCCTTGCAAAATCTGTCTCCTCTGCCCCGGTTTCTTTCTCTTTGAGGGAGAGGAGAGTCGGCTTGGAAATGCTTTTTGCGCCGACAATGGAAGCTCCTGGGTGCCGTAATATCGCGCAACTTCAAACACAAATTCTCTCCAAAAGAGATCATGGCCCCTGGAAGTTTCCATTCTCGGGGGGGGAAGTATTTGCTTTGTTTGCATGCCTATGGGGTAAAGCGTGGAATTGGAGTTGGCCAGGCGCACCAATGCCGTCCATGGCCCGGGTGCGCTGCTTGCTCACGTGCGCCAACCTTAGTTTGAGGGCAGGAACGAAGCCTTCAACAGATTGGGGAGGCATTGCGGGGACAGGTCCCTTGCACCTGCATCCAAGCTGGCAGCAGCGGCAACCACCTGAGCGGCCATGATCCCCCTCCCCAGTCTTTCAGCACCTATAGAGCACTTCCAAACACAGCCAGTCCTTGCTTTTGGAAGCGCTTCATAGGTGCTGAAACATTTTTTATCCCAACGGAGATCTGGCAGAGACTGTAAGCTCTGTATGCCTGGAATGGGGCACTTGAGAAATGGAGCGCTCCTTTCCGTGTAGTCACACAGGGTGCTTCAAAGTGCAGGGAATCCCTGTGTTTTGAATAGTCCCACCAGAGCAGAAACACTCCACAATCCACAATGCCAAATCCTAACCCTCACCCCACCCCAGGGCATCCACAATGCCAAATCCTAATCCCCACCCCAGGGCAACCACATTCCTTCACTAACCTCCTTTCCAGCTCCATTCTCCATGTGCATGGCAACAAAAGAAGTTTGTGGGACTAAAAAAAAAGATCAATCCGACCTTCCAACTTCTCATGAAAAAAAAAATGATCTCGCAAAAGTTGGAAGGTCTGATTGAACTTTTTTTTTACCGGTAGTCCCACAGTCTTCTTTTGTTGCCCTGCATATGGTGGCGAAGAACGGAGCTGGAAAGGAGGTTAGTGAAGGGAGGCTTTGGGGAAGCAAGGGGAGACGGGGTAGGGTCTGTTCTGGCTGCCGCTGCCTCACTCCGCCAGCATCAGGGCTCGGAGGCTTGTTTTTGCTGGAAAAAGCCATTTCTCAAGCCCCTTCCTGACGAAAACAAGCCTCAGGAGCGAGCGCGCCTCGCTCTTTGGCTCCGTTTTCACCAGGAAGGGGCTTGAGAAACGCCGTTTTCTGGCGAAAACGGAAAACAAGCTCACTCCAGAGGCTTGTTTTCACCAGGAAAAAGTCATTTCTCAAGCCCCTTCCTGGCAAAAATGGAGCCAAAGTGCGCCTCGCTCTTATTGAGAGCAATCCTACAAAAACAAGCCTCCGGAGTGAGCACCCCTCACTCTTATTGAGAGCAATCCTGCGAAAACAAGCCTCTGGAATGAGCTGGCCTTATTGACAGTAATCCTGCAAAAACAAGACTCCGAAGCGAGCGCACCTCGCTCTTATTGAGTGCTATCCTGTGAAAACAAGCCTCCCTCCGGAGGATTGTTTTTGCCAGGAAGGGGCTTGAGAAATGGCTTTTTCCAGCGAAAATGGAGCCACAAAACGAGGCGCTCCGTTTCTAAGCATGCATTTGCATGCAGACGGAGCTTCCAGTTTCCCCAAGGTCTCCGTCCTGGTGAAAATTGTTCCGGCAGTGGCGGAAAGGAGTTGGGGTGGGAGCAAACACCGCGAGAGTTCAGGCTCCCTTTCTGCAAAAGAGTATCGCTGCCTAAACTCGAGCGATATTATGGGCACCCAGGAGCTTCCATCGACTTTCCTGTCCCTCAAAGGCAGAAACCGCGGCAGAGAGGAGACGGATCTTTTCAAGGTAAGTGAGTCCAGCGCAGCAGGAAGGGAGGGGGAAGCATGAGGTATCTTAGTGGGTTGGGGAGGCCGTGGGGGCCTATTCCATCACTAGGCCCCCTATGGCCTTCCCCACCCTGAGATACCTCATGTGCACTTAACGAGCCGCGTGCATCTTAACGAGCAAGGGAGTGATCTCGTTCGAAGTACGAGATTCACTCTACGAGTTTTCGAGTTACGAGTGGAATAGACATGCTCCATTACACTCGTAACTCGAGGACTAACTATACTCTGCCTTAGATATGTGTCCCTCTTTCCATTTTTTGTACTTGTCCTTTTTGTCTTTCAGTTTATCAAAGAGATCTTTGTGCAACTATACTGGTTTCTTCTTGGATTTCTTGTTTTTTCTTTTTCAGTGGTGGTGTGTTGGACTGGGCTTTTATAATCATATTTTTCAGTGTTTCCCATGCTTCTTGAGTTGTTTTCCCCTTTAGGATTTTCATCCATGGAATTCTTCTTAGGCTCTGAGTTTGTTAAAATCAGCTCTTTTAAAGTTTAAGACACTGGCTGGATTATGTTCTATGTGTTTCCATTATATTGAATTCCAATATGATGTGGTTGCTCTCACCCAAAGGTCTGGCAACTTCAACACCCTCTATCACTTCTTCTCTATTAGTAAGAATTAGGTGCAGTATAACTTTTCCTATAGTTCCCTCCTCTACTTTTTGCATGACAAAGTTGTCAGCTAGGTTGGTTAGGAATCTGTTCGATCTCCCACTTGCTGCAGAGTTTGTCTCCCAGTTGATATCAGTGTAGTTAAATCTCCTATTACTACTGTGTTATGTTTCCTACATACATTTGTTAGTTGTTTATCAAAAAGTTAATCTATTTCTTCTGCTTGGTTGGGTGGCCTGTAGTATACACATATAGCAATGTCATTCTTTTTTCCTTTTATATTGACCCATAAGGATTCTAGGAGGTTTTCATCGTTGGTTTTGTGTACAGTATTTGTAGAGATGTAGTGATTTTATATATAATGCAATTCGATTTTATATATAATGCAACTCCACCTCCTCTTTTGTTAGGTCTGTTTCTTTTGAATAATTTGTATCCTTGCATCAGTACAATCCAGTCGTGAGTTTCATCCCACCATGTTTCAGTAATGGCAACATGTACCGATTGCATGGAGTGCCAAAACGGATCATCTCAGACTCAGTTTACAGCAAAATTTTGGTGTGAATTTGTAAGGCTAATAGGGTGCTCTCAAGGCCTCAGTTCGGCTTTTCATCTGAGTACAAATGGGGCCGCAGAATGAGCTAACACCATGGTAAACAGTACCTGTGTTGCTATGTCAACTATCAGCAATCAAATTGGGTGCAACTCCTGCCATTCGCTGAAGTGGCGTACAACAATGCAGTGCATAGTAGCACAGGGCTCACCCCCTTTAAAGTAGCTACAGGGATAGAGTTTGTGCCCATGCTGGAATACCCAAGGGAACCCCCCTCATCAGTCACCCTAAGTGAATGGGTACAGAGAGGGGAAAAAGTATTTGATCCCCTGCTGATTTTGTACATTTGCCCACTGACAAAGAAATGATCAGTCTATAATTTTCATGGTAGGTTTATTTTAGCAGTGACAGACAGAATAACAACAAATTTGACCCCTTCGCAAAACATGACTTACAGTAGTACTTGGTGGCAAAACCCTTGCTGGCAATCACAGAGGTCAGATGTTTCTTGTAGTTTGCCACCAGGTTTGCACACATCTCAGGAGGGATTTTGTCCCACTCCTCTTTGCAGATCCTCTCCAAGTCATTAAGGTTTCGAGGCTGACGTTTGGCAGCTTGAACCTTCAGCTCCCTCCACAGATTTTCTATGGGATTAAGGTCTGGAGACTGGCTAGGCCACTCCAGGACCTTAATGTGCTTCTTCTTGAGCCACTCCTTTGTTGCCTTGGCCGTGTGTTTTGGGTCATTGCCATGCTGGAATACCCATCCACGACCCATTTTCAATGCCCTGGCTGAGGGAAGGAGGTTCTCACCCAAGATTTGACGGTACATGGCCCCGTCCATCGTCCCTTTGATGCGGTGAAGTTGTCCTGTCCCCTTAGCAGAAAAACACCCCCAAAGCATAATGTTTCCACCTCCATGTTTGACAGTGGGGATGGTGTTCTTGGGGTCACAGGCAGCATTCCTCCTCCTCCAAACATGGCGAGTTGAGTTGATGCCAAAGAACTCGATTTTGGTCTCATCTGACCACAACACTTTCACCCAGTTCTCCTCTGAATCATTCAGATGTTCATTGACAAACTTCAGACGGGCTTGTACATGTGCTTTCTTGAGCAGGGGGACCTTGCGGGCGCTGCAGGATTTCAGTCCTTCACGGCGTAGTGTGTTACCAATTGTTTTCTTGGTGGCTATGGTCCCAGCTGCCTTGAGATCATTGACAAGATGCTCCCGTGTAATTCTGGGCTGATTCCTCACTGTTCTCATGATCATTGAAACTCTATGATGTGAGATCTTGCATGGAGCCCCAGACCGAGGGAGATTGACAGTTATGCCGTGTTTCTTCTATTTGCGAATAATCGCGCCAACTGTTGTCACCTTCTCACCAAGCTGCTTGGCGATAGTCTTGCAGCCTATTCCAGCCTTGTGTAAGTCTACAATCTTGTCCCTGACATCCTTGTACAGCTCTTTGATCTTGGTCATGGTGGAGAGTTTGGAATCTGATTGATTGATTGCTTCTGTGGACAGGTGTCTTTTATACAGGTAACAAGCTGAGATTAGGAACACTCCCTTTAAGAGAATGCTCCTAATCTCAGCTCGTTACCTGTATAAAAGACACCTAGGAGCCAGAAATCTTGCTGATTGATAGGGGATCAAATATTTATTTCACTCATTAAATTGCAAATCAATTTATAACTTTTTTTCTGGATTTTTTTGTTGTTATTCTGTCTCTCACTGTTAAAATAAACCTACCATTAAAATTGTAGACTGATCATTTCTTTGTCAGTGGGCAAACGTACAAAATCAGCAGGGGATCAAATATTTTTTTTCCCTCACTGTACATCAGTTCTGCTCTATTGAGTAACCCTGAATTTTGACTTATTCGAGATTCGTGTTACAGAATAAGTTTTTAATAACTTTTTTTCTTTCAGAACACACCAACGCAAAGCATTGTAAAACGTCCAAACCAGCAGCTCCAGTCATCTACCCCAAGGAATAGTAATTTGCGTGAATTGCCAATAGCACCTTTGCATGCTATTGAGGCTGCTAACAATCAACGAACGTCAGCTCCTGCTGCTCAAGTGAAACCTATTACTAGCACCACACCTGTTACAAGGCCTGTTACAGGTGTCAAGAACCAACTGGGAAGGACCGAGACCAAGTCTAGAGCAGTTATTCCCATGACTCAACCTAAAACGGAGGTCCTATCTGAACCAGAGGTAGGGGTTCCATCTAGCAAAGGCCCATTGGGTACTCATCTTACGTTTAGCAGTGGTTTTGAGCAAAGGTCACTTGAGATAGACTCTGTACTCTACTGTACTTGTGTTCTAGTGTTATTACCTGCCAAAATATGTTCTTTTTAAATGTTCGGGAACTTTAAAAAGTTTTGATTTAACCTACCATTTAGGAAGAAGAGGTGTTTGTTAACCCCAATGACTATTAAATTTGAACGGTACTGTTGTACATACATAAAAAGTCAGATTGCTATTTTGCACATGTCTAAAAGTATACAGCCTGTTTGCATTGCAAATGGAAGCTAAGGAAAACTCCTTCCTACCAATTTTTCTGCTGGCCTACATCTCCACTCTTCCCAGCTTTTATTTGATGGATAGCGTTGCTCATCTCATAGCAGTGATTCTGTGTGACGTACAGAGTCCCATCAAAGCAGTACAAACCATTATTGAGGCTCAGTGGCTTAAAGTCGCTGAGGACGGTCTCTGCTCCAGCGGTTCAAGTCCTAGCACCATGTGGTGGAGTGAGCACCCATCACTTGCCTCAGCTTCTGCCTACCTAGCAGTTTGAAAGCATTCTACATGTGAGTATATAAATAGGTACCACTTTGGTGGGAAACGTGGCAGCGTTTTGTGCCGACAGTCAGACCCCTGTCAGTGCTAGACCTGCTCAGATGTGATGCCTGACTATGAGGCAACGTAAGTGGTGAGAGAAGGCCCTGGATGACACTGCTCATCTTTCTGATGTGGACAAAGTTTGCCCCCTGTGGTGCACCATGAATAAGTGTGTCAGGGTGAACTAAACGAACTAGCACTCTTTGGCAGCCAAATAACTACTATGTACTAACATTGTAGTTTCCTGGCTAATTGTAACATCACCATATGCTAAATAAATAAATAGTATAAACTATTAAAACAGTACAAACTCATGATGCCCCAATTAATAAGTTCCAAAACAGAACCGTATCACCAACACCAATCAAGCTCACCTAACTGCCTCCCCTCCCCCAAAAGCCTGGAAGAACAGCCAGGTCTTCAGAGCCCTACAAAAGGCTAACAGGGTTAGGGCCATCGGAATCTGCAGTGGGATCCTGTTCCGCCGGGCAGGTGCAGCCACAAAGGAGGCTTTCCTAATCCCGATTTTACAGTACATTTCTGCTGATCTGGTTGCTGGCCTCCCTTCCTCCCAGTCTTTCAAGTGAATTTCCCACTGTCCTCTCCATTTTTCCCAACCTTCCTCCAATCTGTCTGCCAAGTGGCCCATTGCCTTAATTTCCCAGTATTTTTCTGCCAAACTCCCACTGGCTTTCCCATCCTTGACCTTCCCACCAATCTCCCTGCCAGTTTCCCAGTGCTTTGCTGCTGTGCTTCCAACTGGCCTACCCACCAATTTTCCAAGTCCCGGCCCTGTTGTCTTCAATACTGTCTATCGTGAGGGACACAGTTCTATAGCAGTTCTTGTTCCTGGATGGACACTTCTTGTTCCAGTCAGTGGTATGGGGGAGAGGTCTCCTTTGTAGGATGTTGCACAGTTTCTCTCCTCTACTATTCAATATCTAAATGAAGCCACTGGGAGAGTTCATTTACCAATACAGAATGAGGTACTGTCACATGCATATTTTTTTGTAATGGTTGCCATAATAATCTGTAGAAATAGTTAACTGAGTACAGTTCCTTTATTCTAATTTGGAACATGTGGTATCATAAACCTTTGTGCATACAATTTCCATGGGACTTTTGGTTCCCTGTTTTTTTGAGTTCCTAAATAAAAGACTGCCTAAGTCACATGATAAAGAAAATAAATCCCATTTAGCCTAAAAACAGACTTTCTCTTTGCTAATACATAAAAATGAGCAGATATCAAAAAGTAGCAGCTGTTGCTATTGCACTAAATTATAACTGTACTAAAAGATTTAGCTCTGTGGGATTTTTAAAGCTTTGATTTATTTAAACAGAGTGCCAAAAGTTGGGACACTCATGTTTAAGGTACTACATCTTCCCAAATTAATATACTTTCCTTTGAGTAGCAAGCTGGGGGTCACAGTCCAGAGTAGGTAAGGTCAGAGCAAGAAGCAAGACTGCTTTTATTGAACATTTCATTAAAATTATTACTAAAGTTATTCTTCAGTCATGTTTTTAATCATTTCCCCCTTCTATTTTATTAAATATAACATTTGATAGCAATATTTGTAAGCCTCTGAGAGTCATACCTGAGGCTTTCAGGGATCCCAGACTATATGCTTTTGCTATAAATGTTAACCACTGAAATCTTTTCTGACTTAATGATATTCGTAGATTTTATATAGGCTATAAAGTAACAATACCCACTTAGGGAAATTGTCCTCTTTGGCAGTAAAGAATTTAACTCTAGACTTTTTTGTGGCGGTAGGAAGTTTTGAATTTGGGTGCAGTGGCCACCTTCACATTATTTGGATCAGACACTTGGAGCCAGTGTGATGCTGCAAACCTGAAGCTGCATATGACAGGTTTAGATTTAGGGCTTGCTGTGCTATGGCTCTGAATTTCTGGGAGTGGTGCTTTGGGGAAATGCAGTAAAGAGAAGAACCTTGCAAATTCGAAATGCCATGCTAACAATTAGGAGACTCAGGAGCTTTGATGTTTTAGTCATCTCATTTGTCAATTCAATTTGAAAGAAGAGATTTTTGTCTTATGAAAGTAGCTCTTGAAGTGTGTGTTAGTTCAGGTGCTGTGTTGCATTCTCATTTCTCTGCTTTCTCCAAAGCTGCTGTTTTTGTCAGACAAGACATTTTTCTTCATCCATGTTGTTTTCCAATAAGTCTAGTCTCATTTATGAATATGTTCAGGTTGTTTGTTTAACCTAAAGCAATCTCGGGGGTTTCCCAGGTGGGCCAAAGAATGGATAGAATTGTTATGAATATGGGAGTGGGAGTATTCAGTAGTAAACAATGCATATTTAGGATTTTTACACATTCTATAAAAAGAATAGTCACAATTTCACTTAATGATTATTACATTGTTCAATTAATATTATGTCTCTTTCCTCTTCAGTTTTTTCCATTTTGTTGTAACTGCTTACTGAATGCATAATAGTTTTCTTAGCAGTATAAAATTAATAATATTTATATCATCAGTATTCCTTAGTGGAAATTTTATATAAATAATATAACCAGTTAAATTTATTGTCAAAGAAAAGTATATTTATTATACAGTGTATATGGTTTGTAGCTTTCTGTAGGAGTGAAGACTGCTGTTATATTTAAAAAGCAGCAATTTACATTACAGTATTAAAGTATGTTGAACCTGCAAATTTAAAAACAACAAAAAGAATTTGCTTTTGCTTTTAATTTTCCAGTAGCTTTGAATAAAGATATATATCCTGCTGGAGTTTTAAGTCTACTGGAAAGATGATTTGGGACACAAAGGCTATAATACTTTCTAAAAAGCTTAAGGCTGGAATATTAAAGCCATTCCTGATATTAATATTCCAACCTTGTATTTGGCAACATTTTAATTCTGAAGAGAGTACATGAGTTCAAGGTCAGAGAGACTGACTTTCTCTGTTCATTATAAGTAATTATTGTGTGACAAATGAGTTTCAGATCAGGCTGAAAATTATGTAAGAAAAATCAATAGTTCTGTTCAGGGCCTTTCAGGTCATTTACCATCCTACCTTTTGCTAGTTTGTCAGAAAAGAGCAAGATAAAACCTGTGTGACAGTGGGCTACCTCATATTGTTACTGCTTCCATCTGAAAAAGTACTTGAGTTCTTGAATTATATTAATAGTTTAATTAGTTTCAGCAACTTCTAAACGAGTTCCGATTTAGAACGCTTCAGTTTCAGCTTTTTTATTTACTGTATTTAAAAGTCCAAAATCTTAGTAGTATATTCTTTGCCTTTTCATTGCTTGTTTGATTAATAGCTTATAAACCTTTGTTAGCAGCTTTGTCATTAAAGACACTGCATGGTGTTTCAGTTAATTTAAAAATACCACTGGGAAAATGTGTCATCTTTTTAACAAGTGTCTCTTGCTTCTCCTCCTCCTCCTCCTCCTCCTCCTCCTCCTCCTCCGACAAAGTTGGTTTTTACCATGCATAACTTTCTTTTCTGGCTACCTTGCAGTTTCCTGATGAAGATGAAGAAACCAGACTGTACTGTTTGAAGATCGAGGAACAGAAACGCCTCAGGGAAGAGATCTTGAAACAAAAGGAGCTCAGGCGGCAGCTTCAAGCTGGGGCCCGAAAAAGAGAATTGCTGGAAAGGCTGGCACAGCAGCAACAACAAGGCTCTTCAGGCCAACAGCAGGAGGAAGACCCTTCACAGCTGCCCACCAATGGAAATCCATTGCTTTCCCTTCCTGGTGCACAGCCCCGCCAAAATGTGAAATACAGGCTAATGGTTAAAAAACAAGAGCCAGCCGTTCCAGGTTCCACAGCTGTTCAGCCTAAGCCTGTAAATGTTCTCCAGGCTGCGCAATGTCAAGGACAGCAAATAAAAACTATAAAGCAGCTAAGACAGGCTAGGACAGTGCCCGAAAACGAGCTCCAGCTGCCCAATAAAGCTTTGCAAACAAAGCTTCCCGCTGCTGTGCACTTGAACATGTCCCAGATTGCTCGGGTGGCATCGGTGCAAGGCCAGCCTCAAGACCTGAAGCCTGGGATGAAAAGAACTGTTATGCAGCGGGCAAACAGTGGGAGTGGCGATGGGCCCCATATTGGCACCAAAGTCAGGGTGATAAAATTGTCAGGAGGGGTAAGTTACCAGGCATGTCTGTCTCTTATTTTTGTGTGGTTGGTTTCTGATCTCCATCTGTCTTCTTGTTGTCATTTTCAGAAGCTCAAAGTAAGTGATCTGGAAAAGAATAAGCTAGCCAACACCCATGTTTGAACTGGCATAGTTGCATGTGGAAAGACAGATACAAAGATATACAGTGGATATAAAAAGTCTACACAACCCTGTTAAAATGCTAAGTTTTTGAGACGTAAAAAAAATCAGACCAAGTTAAATCACTTCAGAATAATGTTTTCCACCTTTAACATAACATGAAAGCTGTACACGACAATTGAAAAACAAACTGAAATCCTGAGTCCTCCAGAAAGTGGTGTGCTGAATTGGGGGGGGGGGGAGGTGTCCTCCTGCTGAAAAACAGCTGACTTTGCTGCCATAGCCGGTTCTTTGGCAGCACGCTCCCTGGGTTTTGAATGGAAGTAATTAGGAATAACACATAATGACCCTCGAATGACTGTGTACCTGCCTGGGAAGAGAATCCAGAGGATTGCGATTCTCAGTAAGAGCAGCTGGAGTGGTTGGGTTTCCATCTTTTCCTGTCGCTGTTTGTATTTTTAGGTGCGCCTGTTTTAACACCACATTTTGATTTTTGATCTGCACTTTTAATCGTTAATAGCCTGGCTGAATGCTGATGTGTTTTTACACCCTCTTGTTGGATTACAATGTGAACTTTCACCATTTTATTTTGGAGTTAAAAAAATACTTCCACTTTTGCCACAAGGAAGCTGACAACATGAGGTTTTTTCCCTTTTGTAGTGAAAGTCATTTGATCTGACTTATACTGGATTCTTATTGTAAGGATTTTGTATTTTATTAGTTTTTAAAAGAACTCAGTTGCTTTATTTTACTTCCGTATATCTATCTATCTGTCTTTACTTCAAAAGATGGCAACTTCCCTTTTTTTCTCTCTACTGTGAGAACTTTTATCTTAGCTTCTCCTGCAGTTGTTTTGTTATGGAACACTCACTCTCTTTGCCCCAGAGAAAGAACTGTTTATACTCTACCACGAAAGCTTGGTTATAACAAGGATTTGGATCATATTGAAATTAAAGTAACAATAAATTAAGGACTTGGGACATTACCTATTACAGTGGTGGCGAACCTGTGGCACGCGTGCCAGAGGTGGCACTCGGAGCCCTCTCTGTGGGCACACGTGCCGTTGCCCCAGCCTCGCCTCCCCCCGCGGCCCCCTCCTCACCAGCAGCCCCCTGGAGGAGAGTCGGCCCCGGAGCATGGCCCATGCGGAGCAGCACAGCCAAGGACATGGCAGCCAGAAAGCGTAGACAAGACTCTGCCTTCACGCCCCATCGTGCACAGTTGATGCTGCGGGGCGCAGGCGGAGGGTGTGGCCACCATGGCGCTGCTGGGCTGCCTGGGTGATCTGTGGCGGGCCCTGGAGGCAGTGAGTGGCCCTGCAGGCAGGCAGGGTGGGGGCGGGGCAGGGGGTGGAGCAGGGGCGGGGCCAGTTTTTGGGCCCTCGGTCTCTAAAAGGTTTGCCATCACTGACCTATTATATACTTTCTACAATGCCCCTAAAAAGAGATTTAAAAGAAAGATAGGAGCCGGATGACTTTAATGTTAAAGCCTTGTTGGAAACTTTTTAAAAAAAATATTTCTGTTAAGCACAGGATATCAGGAGCCAAGGCGGTTCAAATGAAAACAGGTTTATTGCATGCTAACACTCTCTACAAGAATATGAACTACTAATGGTCAAAGCGAATTGGCAGTAGATAAGAGTCATTGGAACTTAAGGTGGGCTGGACTTAGATCACTTGTGGGCACGAAGGGACTTGAGACTGATGACGTGCTTGACCCCTGCCTTGGACTCAGCCTGGTCATCTTCTACATCAACCACCTTGGCCCCCCTCCTCTTCCATGGGTTCTTCAATGCTGCTTTCCACCTCCTGCATAAATTCTTCAAAGTCCAAGTTCTCGTGGGAACTTGGCAAGGGTGGAAGGGAAGCAGTTTCAAAGGAATCTGCTTCCCCCTCATTTGAAGGAGTTGGCGAGCCAGGTGGTTATTGCTGAAACATAAACACATCATTAGAAGGTTCCTCCCCTCCCCTGCCCAGGAGGTGAAGGCCAGAGGTGGAATGCCCATCGTAAGCGAGTGCCCCACCTCCCCCCCCCCGGTGCGATCCAGAAGGGCTGGTTAACCTCTTCCTCGACAGGTTCCTCAGGTGATGCGGGGTGGGGGCTGGGAGTTTGGTTGGTCATGGTTTTTCAGGGAAGCATTCGTGAAACTGGTAAATTAAATCAGGGGCGTGAACACACCATGCATTTTCACAGGAGTGATCAGCAACAGGGTAGCCCTTCCAATTAATCAAATACTGAATGTCTTTGCCTCTGCACCTAGAATCTAGTATTTCCTCCACTTTGTATTCTGTTTCTCCCTCCACTATGACTGGTGATGAAGGGTGTGTGTGCTGGGATATCAGTGATCTTGGGGGGGGGGCAACTTTGGAGAGCAAGGATCAGTGAAAGACTGGGTGCACCTTCATAGAGGGAGGCAATTGGAGGTAGAAAGCTACAGGGTTGACATGTCGGAGAACCTTGAATGATATCACAAATTTAGCATCTAGCTTCTTGGAAGGTCTTGAAGATGTTAAGAACTTGGTAGAGAGCCAAACCTTGTCTCCTACTACAGTGACTCCTCCCACTGGTGGGCATCCACCATCTTCTTGTAAGACTGTTTTGCTTGGTCGAGCTGCTGCTTCAAGAGGACTTGATCTTATTCCTGTAAGAAGTTAACTCTCCCTGGGACAGTTGAGTCCAGTGCGGGGTGGTCTGGCAACACTTTAGGGCAGACATGTCAAACTTGAGGGCCGCGGGCCAGATGTGGTTAGATGTGGCCTGCGGGGCCGCCCTGGAGACAGCGAGGGGCCAGCCCCTGCCACCTCGGCCCCGGCCCATCCCATTCTGGCCAGGCATGCGCACAGGAGGCAAGCACATGGGGGCTGGTGTGCAGCTGACATGATGAGCACCATCTTGCCCTGCAGGCTAACCGTGTTCCAGCACTGGGTGGCCACCACAAAGTAGAGCAGCGTGTAGAGCCCCAGCAGCAGCTCACCACCACTGCCTCTGCTGCTTCCATGGCCTGCTTGCCAGCCCGGCCTCGCCCACAAGCACTTCCCTTTCACCAGCATGGCCCCCGCCTCCCACCCTGCTCCCGCATGGGAAAGCCACGGCCAATGGCAGCACTGCCATACTCTTGCCCTCCCCTCATCCCTTCCTGGGTGTGGAGGAAGGAAGGAAGGAGGGAGGGAGGAAGGAGATGGGAAAGAGAAGGAGGCAAGGAAGGTGGGATGAAGGAAGGAGGGAAGGAATGAGAGGGAGGGAGGAAGTAAGGAAGGAGATGAGAGGGAGGGAGGCAGAGAAGGAAGGAGATTGGAATGAGAGGGAGGGAAAGTCTGAGGGAAGTCCTGCCTTAGCACTTGGCCACCAGCAGACCTGCTGCCCTCTCGCCATCCCCTTGCCCCCACCTCTTGGCCTCTCCTGGTGGTCTCCCATCCTATCGCTGAGGATGCTTTGCTTACAAAGCCGGGTCTCCTTGCATGGAGAGGTAGTGGGCCTCCCTCTGACCCACGCACTTTGATTTCTGCTGCTGCATGTCCCTTGGCTCTGCGCCCAGCTCCAAAGGCCAGGGATGGGCAGGAGACGAGCATTAGGTCAGGACTGGTGTGGGTACCTCCAGGCAGCCACCACGAGCAACCTGGCGAAGGAGAACGAGCACAGCAGCCTCGAGGTAAGCACAGCTGGACGCCCTCTTGGGGAAGCGGGGCTCGAGGGCTGGGCTAGGCGCTTGCTCTCCACTGCCCAGGTGTCATGGTTCCGACAGATGGAACTCTTCAAAGAACTTTGAGGCATTGTTTACCTTAAAGATTCTTTACTTCATAGTGGGTCTGACCCGCCGCCATGAGCGGTCCGGGTGATTTTTTAAGGGGAGATCTTAAAGTGGAACCCCAAAAAGGTTTCAGCAAACTGCAATGGAAGACAGGGTGAACTCTCCCTAAAAGTCTAGGGAGTTTTAATTCTACGGTGACCGGGTTAATGATCTTTACAATGGGGAAAGGCCCCAAGAATTTTGGTCGTAATTTCTTACTGGGTAATTTGAGGCGTAAATATTTAGTTGACAGATAAACCTTTTCCCCAACTTGAAATGTTCTTTGAGGAACCCTTTTGTTATCTGCCTGCTTTTTGTAGGACTCGGAAGTCTTTTTTAAAGCAGTCTTCATGGTTTTCCAAACTTCTTCCCACCCCCTCACCCATTGATCAAGTGTCTGAGAAGCAGAGGGTGCCTGGGGGTATTCTGGTATTGGGCTGAACTTGTTTCCTGTGGCTACTCTGAAAGGCGTGAAGCCGGTGCTGCTGTGAACAGAGTTATTGTAAGCCACCTCTGCGAAAGGGAGGAGGTCGGTCCAGTTGGTCTGTTGGTAGGAAACATAGCATCTAAGGTATTGCTCCACCATTTTGTTAGCGGATTCCGCGGCTCCATTAGTAGATGGATGAAAAGCAGATGATAGACCTTGAGATGATCCGATTAATTTAAGAAAGCTCCTCCAAAACCTAGCTGTGAACTGCACCCCCCTGTCCGAAATTATTCTTTGAGGGGTGCCATGCAGCCGGTAGATATGTTTCAAGAACAATTTAGTCATTCGTCGGGCAGACGGGAGTCCTTTGCAGGTGATGAAGTGAGCCTGCTTTGAAAACAGATCTACCACAGTCCAGATGACTGTATTTCCTCTACTTTCAGGTAGGTCTACTATAAAATCCATAGCAATTTCTTCCCATGGTTGAGAAGGGTCTGCCACTGGCTGCAATAACCCAGGGGGTTTCCCTGGAATTATTTTCATGGTGGCACATACAGTACAACTCCGGACATAATTTTCCACGTCCCGTTTTAATCCCGGCCACCAGAATTGCCAGTGGATGAGATGTAGAGTTTTTAAATATCCAAAGTGTCC